TAATCTGTGTCGCCACTTTCCCCAAGTCAGGTCCACAAAATGTTCGCACGCCTGGGTCAGAGTTTCCGTACAGGTGCGCAACAGTCCGTTTGTTGCTTTTCCGTTGAGAAGATGTTCACCTTTCCATCTTTCAATCCCGCTGTTTTGTGAGAACAGGATTATACATGAGGCCCCCGGCTCTGTAGTTTAGGCAAATGTTACTCAAACGAAAGTAATTAGTGCATTTTTAGAGGCTGTTTTCCACCACAGACCAATGCGCAGTTAAAGCTCTGGTGAATATTAATGGCAGCAGGACAGTGTGTGTTGGACTGACTCAAAATGAGCCACTGTACGTGTTCATCGCGATGAACCAATCAGATGAGCAGTGCGGCTTTATTAATGTGAATTTTTAACAGTATTTGGACAAAAATGGAGGACAACCTCTTGTGCATTACTGCTAGCATTATGACCCATGGATCATGAGTGCTGGCTGTATCAGTGGACGAAAAATATCCAAACCTGCAACAGCACTGTGCTTTATTTTCCCAGTGTTTGGTGGTGTGTTTTTTTTGTTTTTTTTGAGACATGGCTTGACACAAAATAAATTGAGCAGAAATGAACTGCGGCTTCGGGAACCTTTTGGATTGAATCTTGGAAATGTTATTTACTTGAGCGCCGAAGAGAGCGCGGCAGATCATGTGCTGTCATTCATTCAATTTGTCAAGAGTTTCTAAACCGACGCGCTGAGCGATCGTGTGTGAGCGGGAATCCTTCTGAAGCCGAGTAACTGACATCAAATAGAGCAGGTTGTAGCACAGCAAGCGTTCTCATCTGTCAACCATCATCAGAGTTTTCAGAGGTATCAAATCTGACAGTCTCCATGCATTAAACACGAGCACTGAGCCTAAGTGCATGATGAACCTTGTGGAATTCACCACAATTATGAGTCAAATCTTCTTAAAAAAAAAAAAAAAAAATTGACATGTGCAGGAAAATACACAATAAACTCATTCTCCTTTCACATTTGATAAAGCTCCGCAAAAAGATAAATATTTATAGATTTTATCCTTTTGATAATTCAGTGCCAACCCCAGATTTGGTATGTGTCACTGTTGCACAGCTTTGTTCCCAAATCAGCTTTTCAACATCAAGTGCTCTGATGTGAAATATGTGCGACTGTATTGGTTATGGAGGAGCAGCGTGCATGAAACGCTATCTCAGAGCCAAACTTTACTTGGAGCCGAAATTGCATCGACCCTGGCACATAACATTGAAATTCAGCCTCAGTAAACGTCTGAATGGGACTGATTACCTGCTCTCTCTCTTTCATTCTCTCTTGTAGAGGCAGGTAACACAACAGCTGTAACGTTGTTAACATCGCTTTTCTTCTGACTTCTGGCTGCAGACACTAAACTTTTAATCAGACTGCGCGAGCGAGCGCCGACTCTCTCTCCGGCTCTGATTCTCAGCCAACTCCTCCACTCTCGGAAAAGCAGGGGAGGCAGAGGAGCCAAGCTTTGCTGTACCTAATCAGCCCAATCGATCACTTTAATTGATGACAGCGGATAAATGATGATCAGCAGAGGATTTATCAATGGATTTCTGGTTGTCCCGCTCAGGGCATTAGACTCCAGAGGGTTTGTCTGATTCCTCCATTTAATGCCAAAAAAAAACAAGTAAACATGTCGTCTTATACTCGGCGTGTAAAGAGATGAATCATGGTTCCAAATATCATGAAAATCAAGTAGTTTATAATTTTTGGTTTTTGAAAATAGTGCGCTGCCAGTTTGGAGAGGAGGTTAAATACCTCAGTGTCCTCACAAGTCAGACGGCTCTGAAGAAGCCTCTTGGATGAGAAGTGAAACGTCTGCAGGAACCAACAACTACTGTCAGTCTATTTGCCCAGGATTCAACTTTTCTTGAATGTTTTGGTATCTTACGCTGAATATTAATCTCACCATTAGTACAGCGGTTCTTCTTTCATGCATGTCCTTCTATTCATGTGTTCTCTGTAGCAACCACACCTTTAGACTATTCCTTTACAAACTGAGAGGCTGCTCTTCCGTTACAGACTCATTGGGGAAAGATGCGAAAACAAAAGACAATCTACCATCTTGCCGCTCGCTCATGTTCATTTTGAACAAATTATAAACTGGCCGCAGTCCAGTCTCTTTATTCCCCGGGGCACCTCTGGACGCCGCGCGTAAATCCTGCCTACCTGAACTGTTTGTAAAGAGTTTCTAGAGCAGAAAGAGGGGAAAAGGGATCACGTGCTAAAATAACTGTATGTAAGTCAATGTCTCAGAAAAGAACAGAAGACCGGATGTTTAGCAGCTGGAAGCACAACGTTTGAGTTCAGTTCACACCCCACAGAGTGTGTTTTATCTCCACTGGTGTGTCATCTGACGCTGATTATTAGGCAACAGACTCTAACCTGGCACTTACTCAGATGTTATTTCAACCCTGACTGACAAACGCAGACGCACAGTGAGAAAAGTACTAGATGCGGATCTGTTGCCATGGTAACACAGACCAATAGATCTCAGCTATTGACTGAGGTTGAAGATCTCTGTAGACCTATTAAAGAAAACACCTACACACACGTACTGTACGTGCCTGCAGACTCAAATGCTGACACACACACACACACACACACACACACACACACACACACACACATAAATCACACTCACCACCAGTTAAACATCAGCCCCCGAAAACATCTTTCTTTGTTATAAATGGAGAATACAAAAATACAATGGGAATGTTTTCGCTCTAAAAAAGACCTGAAGCAGCTGAATGCTTGAGTAACCAGGTAAGAGAGAGAAAGTCAAATCTCCCCAAGCCATGCTATGGAAACGCTTGCTTTTAAGTGGCACAGAAGGATGATACAAAAGAGGATACGTTGAGAGTGAGTGGGACGATTTGCTCAGATTTAACTGGGGAGGCTGGTAAACTGATAAACTGCCAAATACTCCAAATACTTTGGCAATCTTCTCCGTACTCCGGAGCTCCGCTTTCATTCTCAAATCTACGCTCAACAAAGGCGTCTGCATCTTATACATTTGTGCTTAACGCAGGGACGCAGTCTGTCTTTATTACTCTCGAATGTCACCCAGAGGATGGATGGCATGTGTTAAGAAGAGGAGCCGGTATTTCATTATTTTCCAATTTGAAAGTTAATAGAGAGGTTGCCGAGGTGGCACTGAGAGAGAGAGTCTACTTCGGACTGCCTCACTCTGAGCGAGCGAGTCAGCCAATGAATCATTTAATTAACTATCAAAATATAAAACAGCAACAAGCCAGCAGAACAGCTGGTAAACCAGTCAGCAATTTAATCAGAAACAGAAAAAGTGCCATTTGTTCTGGGTTTTGTCGTCCAATTCATCAATTTTGGGAAAATGAGAAAGCTGACTTTAAAGGCATGTTGTTTTTCAAAGAGATGTGGGACTAATGAGTGTGTAGAGGACATTTTGCTAGGGTGGCACCAGTTGTGTTGACTAAAGGCATTTTTTTTGTACTGAACACAGACTCGTTATATTTACTGTGTTTTTTTGTTTTATCGGGTCATTTTAACTGAGAATGTAAAATAAAAATCAAGATTTAAGAAAACGTCCGCAGCACTTTGTCTCATAGTGACAAGCTTCCACAGCTCTCTGTTAAATATCCAGAGAGTTATTGTTCCTTGAAAGAGACAGGACATTTGACATTTAAGTTTTTCAAATGTCATCCTTAGTGCTGCAAGCACCAACATTAAAATTCTATTCACTCTATCAAGAGTCTGAGGGGTGATTATCCCCAGACAATCATAAATAAAACTATAGAGTTGCCCTGCATGGCTGGTGACCACAGATGTGAAGTGGAGATAGATGTTTTTGTTATTTGGGTGAACTGACTCTTTAATAGCCAGATGCATCTGTGAATAGCTCTGGACCTGCTTGGATTCTCAATGAATGACAGATGCATTTACATCTGTATTTTGTGAATTTCTGCTTTGTGTAAACAAACTTTGTATGTACATGTATGTCAGTTGTATTTATACTTAATTATCCTTGATATTAATTTGTTTTCAAGAAATTCTCAAAAGGCAAACTTGACTATGTGTAGTCAGGGCCTACTCCAGGGTTTAACCAACTCAAAATGAAATGCAAATGCCTGAAGGTTAGGAGCTGAGGTTTATGCTGCCAAAAAGCCCATCAGAAGCCTCTCAGGCTCAGGCTCAAAAGCGTGAACTACGGATTGGTTTTGTGTCAGTAAATCATAAATATCATGACAAAGGACAAAGAGCTGGAGTCAAAGCATCATGACAGGAAATGTGACCATCTTCGCTGCTATATTCCTGTTTTCCTTGGATGGCTGTAAGGATACGGGGATCATACATTTTTTATCCGTACTGACTATGAACACGTCCCCTATGGATCATGTTCGAGGTTGACGACCTCGGGGCTCAATGCTCTATGAATGAATAAAAAGTTTCCTCTTTAAGCGGCAGCGGTGAGTGTTGTGGAGCGGCGCGGCGCGGCGCAGCGCAGCGCTGCGGTCCACCGTGCGCTCCGGCTGCGTGTTTGGGGACGTGACATCGGTTAGGGCCTGTGTGCTGCCGCACCGATGGTTTAAATATACAATAAACATATATTAAACGCTGCCGGACCAATTAATCAGACTCATAAAAAATACAGGCTATGAGAATAATAACAAAGCCATCAAAGATCACCAAAGCAGCGCCAGGCGCATCAAAATGACTGCCGTCGTTTACAACACAGCTGTTGTTGTTAATGGTTATCATTTATGTCAAATAAAGTGATGAAATCTTCCACAAGCTCATTTTCTCCTAAACTGGCAAATGAAGATCTGCATTAATAATAACATAAATCAAGGCAGCTTGAGACTGGAATGGGAGTCAGAGCATTCAGCGTCTTACAGGCTGCTGGTCGTGTGTTATTTATGGTCTATTTGTATGATTATACGGAATAAAGGGCCACTCTCACAGGTTGGACAATAACACAGCATCAATGTCTTACCGTCAGCGGCCAAGGAGCTCTGCATCATCAGCATCAGCACCGTGCCGATGGTCACAAACCATCGGGCCGTCATCCCATTCAGCGCCCGTGTCCTCTTCCAGTTCTTCGGCGTGCACACGGCCACCATCCGCGCATCCAGGATCCATGCCGTCGGAGAGGAAGAGCAGGGGTCTTTTTTAACATTTATCCCATCGACCCCGGGGCCACTGCTACCGCTGCTGCTGCTGGAGAGGAGCGCATGTTTAGGAGCCATTGGTCAACCAATTAATCCTGAATGGAAAACATCTAACGGCGCTGCTGTGGTGAAAGGCATCCGATCAACCTGCCCCCGGTGCGGACAAGCAGGGCTCCGCTCTCCATGAGCCTGCTGGAGGCTGTGAGGGTCGATAAAGAAACAAAGAGATTTTTTTTTCCCCTCTATGCGTCTCACTGTGTGTGTTTCTATGTGTAAGCGCGCTTAAGTCTGATGTCCCTACTGCGACCGCAGAGCGCTCTCCATCTCTGCTGGCAGCTTCGTCAATGCACGGCTACAATACCGGAACAGCTGATACTGCCTTCAAAATAAAAGCGTCATATTTAGCCTACTTGGAGGTGCATCTGGCACGGTGGTGTTAACGGAGCACTCCAGCGATTTTTCACTGTAAAATATGTTTAGTAGGAGAAGCAAACTATACAGCCAATGAGAAGAGTTGTATAAAGTCTAACATCTGTGACTCTGGAGCTTTAAATCTTAAGCGATAACCTTGAATTTATCAGAGTTATCCAGGTCTTGGGATGGAAACTGTATTTCATTTAAAATAGAGCAATGTGGAACAACCTAAAAGACCATGTTTTTGTTTTCTTTCAGTACTGAAGCCTAGCATACAAATGAAAGTAATATCATCATCATCATCAACATCTGGAATATTTATGATCTCAGCCACTTCCCCCAGTCACAGTAAATTATTAAACCAGGGTTTTACTTAGGATAACTTGTAAAATGCAATATCCAATGGTCTGAAAAGGTTATTTATAAGGATGCTGCCTGTTTGTACCCTAAATAAAAAAAATCTCAATATAACCTAAAGTCAGTTGCACTTCTTCTGGTGGATTAGCTCACATGGACTGAATGAAGCATTAGCTGTCCTCAAATGGATTAGAAAAGGAACCCAAATTGACAGCGTTCATTTTTTAAATGGGTAAAGTAAATAACTTCCGGTCTTGTTTTGGCTTATTGCGTCTAACTTTACACAGCTTCTAGCAGCCTGCATGTTTGGTGTAATTATGGTTAAAAATGACAGAAACAGGCTGGTCCATACGGTCACTGAGTATATAACCACTGAATACGGAGATGTGAGACCAGACTACTGACTTATGTCTTTCTTTCCTCTTTAGTGTGAAGCCCTCTGCATCATTATAGGACTGAAAATCAAGGCAGGCTGTGACGCCAGCGCTGCTCTGCTGTAAGATGTGTTTTTGGCAGATATGAGTTCAGCAGGAGGCAGGCGGCCCCTGGTGGGAGCTGAGGGCAATGTCACTCTGCCTGTGCACAGTCACCAAAGTAGGATGACAACCACGCCGGGGAAATACACTCATCATTAGACCCGCTCCCATTGTGCCCAATTTACTGTAAAAGAAATAATGGTGGAATCATTGTTTTGCTGCTGGAACACCCTCTAGGACACTTAATTTGTAAACACTGTGTTATGTCATCAAAGTGCATTAGCCTAAACCTGCACAGAGGGAGTGTTGTGAGAAATTATTAACAGCTTGTTGCATAAATTGCAAATTGCAAAAAACAAAAAAACACTTTTTGCCAGCCAAATACACACCTTAACGAATGATAACACCGATGACATTAATTCATTTGACAGATGGCTAAAATACACTTAGGACATTCAGTGAAATGGCTCGTTTTATACAGTTTCTTAGTACTTCCGGTGAGCTCCAACATATTTTTATAAACAGTCTATGATTCATTGTGGCCTGGAAATGGAAAAGACAGTAACGTGAAAAGCTAAGTGTTCACTGACAAAAACTGAAAGTATGTTTTTATTTAATTAAATATTTGAATGTCCTATCCTAGTTGAGTTCAAGTGCTTTATACTTAGTCGACGTCCGAAGTCGTGTTAATTCTGCGAATGTGCCTTGGCTACAGAAGAGCTTGAGGCTAACTGCAACACGGTTGATTCGTTCTAGTCCCGCGCGCCCTTTACCGTTAGCAACACCGGATTCAGAGCTGGCGTTTTAGTAGGCCAACCCGGAAGTTAGCATCACCCTGGTTCCCTCCACAAAAAGCTAATGGTTTTTCTTTTCGATTACTGCAGAAAATAAGCTCAGAGACAAACAAACGTATATGATACTTACACGTGTTGTTCAGCACGACGATCTTCACAAATCCACTTTTATGATTTGGGAAGTCTAAATACACTTGCCAGAAGTAAAAGAAAAAAAAGGCTAATGCTAGGCATGACTTCAATGTCACCACGACAAAAGCCTTTCCTGTTAGAAAGTAAGTAAGAGTTTGCCAAAGCACGAGTATAAGCCAACGAGGCTGTCAAAGTGGACTAATGATTACATGTCTGTAGTCTCATTTAGCCACTTGTTGGCAACCGGGCTTTTTTAAAAAAGAAATAAAAGTTTAAAGAAATCACGATTCGGGTGTTTACTGACGTATTTGATGTCGTAGAATAAAACGTGAAAATGTCTTGAGTTTGTGTTAACCACAGACGTTATTTCAATCATCTAACCAAAACTTATTCAAAAAAACCTGTAGATCTTCGGGGCGAGGGAACCGGAAGTGCTAAAATGCTAACTTACTTCCGGGCTTTAGGGCTCATGGGCTCATTCCTATAGCACTCTCGTTGTCATAGTAACCTGATATACTGGTACCAGGCTACCAGTACATATAAGGAGGCCAACAAGTGACAAGAAACTAAAGCCAAAGACATTAGAAATAATTTAAGAACAGACGTTAGTTTGCTAACTGGAGAGCACTGACAAGTTCTCATTTGCAAAATGTTGCACTTATAAGATATATAGGTCACAAAAAAAACAAATGTATGGGTTTCTATATGTTATTGTGTTAATGTTTATAAAATGTATCAGCCAATACTATCATTTTTTTTTATCTCAAGTATTAATAAGTTACAAGAGGTTCAGCTTTTCGATGCTAATACTGTATTTTTTTTAAATTCAGAAATATAACTATCAATGCATTGTTCATTTAATATACAAATAGAGAAAATTTGAGAGGTCACATAAGACACTACAATGCCCTTTATTGTATATTGTTGCTACATGCCAGTAAATGCACAATGAAACTGTAAAATATGACTTCTGTATCAACAAAGACAACAAACATTGAATGAAGCAAAAGATTTTTTTTTTTAATTCAAAGTGAATCTTGACATAGTACACCATCAATTCATAATTTGACACTCACCAATAAGAGTCACCAAGAAGGACCCGCTTTTTGTGACAAAGTACATAAGGCTTGGTCACATTGAAACTCACTGAGAACTAGAGGGGGGGAAAAGAAAATGACCGCAAACTGGTAAGACACATTATTACATCCAAACAATAATCATTTTCCCAGTCCTCATATTGTTTTATATTGCACAGTGCAGTTGCTACATGTCAAACTAGTGTAGCATTTAAGAAAAGAAAAAAAAAATCATAAAGCCACACAAAACTACACATATTTAGAACAGTAACAGTTTCAATTTAGCAATCATGTCTACATATTTGTGTCTAAATACAATAAATGCCAACATGATAATTAGATAGTTGTGGTACAAAATCTACTCAAAACGTATCTTAGGAGTCAAATTTCACACAATTTATTTTTCAGCCCAGTACCCAAATGAGATGACCCATGCGTGGTGAGATTTTTTTTTTTTTGTCTGTTTGTTTTTGAGCAGTTTTGACATGAGGGGACCCAATGAATGCAGGCCTGGGACCAATTTGCTCGTCTCTGACAGCCGACTAGTCTTTGAAAAACTGATAAGAAAACAGAGAGGATTCTAGTTTATCTACATTTGTTAAGGGGGAATGGTTTCTAATGCCTAATAAAGGCCCTCCATCACAGAGAGCTACGTTTCCCCTCATGTTTCTTAAGTACTTGAAGGGTCTTTAGGCCTGCTTTGTCACTTAAGGCTGCTGGGCTCCGTGTGCTTGTTGAGCTTTGGATTTGGGACTGTGTGACCCTCTGGTGACTTTGATGATGCAACCGTCAGTGTAAAGCTGCAGGGAGGTGGGATTATCTACCCTAAGCAATCAACCCCAAAGTAGAAGGGGATTACAGTGTGGTGCATCACTGAGGTGGTACATATGTTCATCTCATCACAGGTGCTGAGCTGACAGAGAGAATAGAGATATGGGGAATTGACGAGAGGCTGCACACCAGAGTTAAAAAAATAAGAAAAAAATCCTTGAAGTTAAGTACAGATTACTGTGCCACAACACGCACCTATCATTTAGGATCCTAGACTGCACTTCAAGCCCAACAGTGTGCATCCTCTCGTTTGCTTAAGGATCGTCAACACAGTAGCATATTTAGACAAACAGACAAAATAAACCCATTATTTAACATAGCAAAACCATAACAATGTAGTACAATGAGTAGATTAGGATGGGACAACTTTGGACCTAAACCTTGAATATGATTGATGAATAAAGCATTTTGAAACAACCCCTGACTGAAACACATGGTGATATCTACCAATGGTAATAGCTGCATACAGGAACTATCAACATCCCAAACACAACAGGAGAGAAAATGCTGTATAGCCATCAGAAATGCAAACCAAAAACAGATGTCTTGAGTTCCACAAATACATTCACGGTGTGAGAATAAAGCTCTGCATTTGTGTATATTCAGGCCCTATGTTTTTGAGTACTGCACGGTGTTCTTGGTGAGCACAATAAAACATTCCCTGACTTGTACTTTCTTAGGATTCTGTAAGAAAAAAAAAAAAAAGAGATTGTTTTCAGAACTCAACTTAGTCAAACAAACAACTTTGGGGTTTTGTGATGTGAAAATAGGAGCTGATCCCCTTAGAAGGAATTAGTCAACAAATTTCCGACTGCTTTGATATCAATGCAAGACGTCATCTGTCAGCCACTTGTTTGAAGAAAGGCACTAGTTGTACAGTACGAAGAGTTGCAAATACAGTCCAAGAACGGAAATAAAATGTCATCAGAAGAAAAACTAGAAAAACAAAAATACATCAACACACCGGTTACAGAATCCAAGAGTGAACCCAGCCTACATTTGAAATACTGATGCTAAATACACACGCACAAAAAAACACACACACACACGCACACACACCAAAAAGCAACAGAATAAAAAAAAATAAAACTCATAACTTCCATTACAGCAGTTTACAATCACTTCAAAACAACAAAGCCAATATACAGAGGCACTAGCATATAGGAATAGCATTCAATACACTCTATGATCAAAAATAAAACCCACTTCTATTGTATCTAGTCGTCAGAACTATAATACAAAAGAGAGAATGCAGGCTAGAATGAGATTAATCCTCTAAATTCACAGCTACGAAGTGGCAGATAATCAGTACATAGCAGCTTATTATCTATACATTCCAAATACAATTTGCCAAACATAGCTCAGAAAAATAAAACCTCAACCTCATTTTTAAAATAGAGATCTCACAATATATTCCAATGTTGATAACTGCAACAGTATGCTGGAGGTGAAAGGAGAAATAGTAGCGACCATGCTTCAGAAATGATTAATGAACAGTCTTTGGTGCTGATTGGAGTAAAATACCGCTTGATATGACGACAGGTAAAGACGCAGCTCTACTACACACCGGAAATCAAAAACACAAAACCCAAAAAATAATCAAGGCTATGCATCCACCCTGAAGGAATGTATCAAAACTGACAACAGGCTTCAATACATGGACAAAAGGTTCGTCTCACACAAATATTTAAAACAATTACCAATACACCTCTAACACTCAATAGCCCAGCAATGATACTGTAAGCTGATAGGTTATTTCAAACACTGACAAGCATTTAAAAATAAAAACACAAAACAATCTTATTTTTCTTATTCTATGCCACTCCCAAAATCTAAAACATAAAATGCATTACTGCAAGTCTAACTTAAATGCAAAATAATAAAAACTAAGCAACCCAGAGGCTATCTAGATTGTATTGCAGTTACAGTAAACAGTGACAATACTGTTATGAATTAAGTACTATAGTGAATAGAAATCGATTATCAAAATATCAAATCACTCTTTATGTACATAAAAAGCTCATTCAGTCAAAGCCCTAAATGTGCAGCCTCTAGCTAAAGTAAATCCATACTCTGAGTTAGAAAGCAAACTGAAGTTCAACATTTGCCAATATGAAAACATTACCACAAGCATTATCCTCATATTTATCCAATAAGCCCATTGTTATCAGAGTCTGAAGGTTAAGTGCTAAAGGCCCATTTAAATTTACAATCTATAAGCTCCTGAAGTAACGTCATAGACTCTGGTTTTAAGGCACTAGGAGATGGCAGCTGCAAAGTCTGCCCGAAACAAAGACAGGAGCATTCGATCCTGGTTAATACAGACTGGGATGGCTTAACAAACAGATCTGACCGGCTAGCACATGCTACAAGGCAACAAAGATAAAGGGAAGGGGAGGCTGAGCGATCTGACAGCAACGACAACAAGTGATTTCCAGCCTCTAATTAGATCATATTGTCTGAACACTACACAACAACAAATGACAGGAGGTAATGTGCAAAGGACACATTCTTAATTAAAATTTCCTTATCATCATCGTTTGTGAAATAATTCACTCTTGTAATGCTCTCTTATAAAGCTTTGTGGTTTTAATAAATCATTGTTTCCTCTCTTGGCTGACATGATTTCACGGGAAGTCTTTCAGATCTGAAGTTGCTCTTGACATTTGACGTGAACCTCCGGATTTCAGAGGCTGTTAATTTCTTTGTCCTCAAAACACCATAAAACATTATCTTCAGCATTGTTACTTTTACATTTCTTTCTCAATCCCCTATGACAGATTCTTATCCATCCTCCTTCTCCTTAACCATATTTTTGTCTTTCTCATCTTCATCATCACAAGTGTCCGTTTTGTGCTCTGGTGCCAGCTCTACCTGCCCAGGTTGCAGCCCCAGTCCATTTTCCATTGCCCCTCCTCACAAGAAGGTGCTGCTGCGGCCCCGTCCTGCTCCTCAGATATAAGAGAACTGGGGGTGGTGGCTGAGCTTGGTGGGGCTCAGAGGGAAGCCTGTGTAGGCAGCTGGGGAGGCCATGTAGGGGTGAGGAGGGGGTGGGGGAGGGGGGAAGGGAGGCTTGAACTGGTGGGGGTGGTGGGGGTAGCCAGGCTGGTGGTGTGGGTGGATGGTCGGAGAGGGGAGGAGCCTGTGTGGGTGGGGAGCGGGATGTCCAGCGTGATGGGGGTGCGTGCTGATGCCCAGGGTCACCTGATGAACTATAGTGCCTCCTTGGGGGTGGGAGAGACTGTAGCTGTGCTGAAGGAGGGGGGGAGGAGGGCGAGAGGGCAAGATGGGATGGGGGTGGTGGGCGGTGGTGAGGGGGCCGCTGGGAGGGTAGGAGAGCAGGGTGTGTGTGGGCAGGCCCTGGGTGTGTGTATGTGGGGCGGCCGAATTGTGCGTGGGGCTGCTGTGCGGCAGGTGTGTGAAGGTGTGTGTGTGGACAGTAGGGGGAATGTAGGCGTGCGGTCGCAGCGGCCCATAGTTGCCGTTCCACTCTTTGTTGCTGTGGTTTGAAACGTACGGCTGCACCTGAGAGAGAGAACAAACAAACACAAAGACAATCTGTTAAAGACCGAGATTCAAAACAGCTTGTTTAAGGAATCGGTCAACAATTTGGGAACCATTACAACACATTATATTAGAAGATTGACTCTCATGCCCATCTGTTAAGTGTGAAGCTGGAGCAGCTGGTTAGCTTAGCTTGACATAAAGACTGTACAAAGGGGGAAACAGCTAGCCTGGTTCTGTGCGAAAGTATTGAAACTGACTTTCTGACACCTCTAAATCTCACTGATAAGCACTGAAGTGAAAAAAAATAACAACTTATTTTGAAATCAGACTTGTATTCACGCATTGGATTTTCTTGAGGTGAAACAAACATGTATGAAATAATGTGTTACTGAACTTTAAGGATGCTGGTAGGCGAATTTGGACAAAACCAAGCTAGCTGCTTCGTCCAGTCTTTATGCTAATCTAAGCTAACTGGCTACTAGCTCTAGCTTCATATTTACCATACAGACATGAAAGTTGTATCATCTAATTCTCTGAAGGAGAGCCACTACAGATATCTCTAACTATTCCTTTTAAGTCCCTGCATTGTGTTTGAAAGGCTGACTGTATCAGACCAGCTATAAAATTCCCCAACTGAGACCCTTGTTTGCATTAAGAATATTTGGCTTGCATACCTACCTTCATTTACTTTCATGTAACCAATGGCAACATGTTTCATCTCTTGAGGTAAGTGTACATAAACTGAGTAACAAAGTGTCAAAATACCTCTGTGGCGCTCACATCTGTCTGCTTCCAACATCTCCCACCACATGTCCCTTGGGTTTAAACTCTCTTGCTGCAGTGCCTACACCTGACTTTGCAAGCTGTTGTGTAAGCTCATTGAAATAAGTAACATAGCCCTCGTTATTTTCAAATCTGGAGCGTTTCAAAAGAACCAAAATTTTCTCCAGGGGAGTCATTTCTGCTGAATACTTTTGGAGACAAGATTCATCTTCCTGTCGTACAACTTTAAGTCTGCTGCTCACAAAAAATGTCCTGGAGCTCTGTTACAGGGTATCCCATTAATATTCCCCAATGGATTTTTAAAAGGTTCAGCTCCTGCACAGTGCCCCATATTTTCAATAGAGAAAGGAAAAGAACCAAGCTGACCTGTCCAAAGGCCAGAGAGTGCTGGTGCTGCCCTGTTGCCTTCTGCTGCCGGGACAGGAGGGGGGCGGATGGGAGGAGGGAGACAGAAGAGGGAGTGTTCTGTTGCCCTACGAGATTGCAGCGCCCTTTGGACCGGGACCAGGACTCTGAGACTGGGATGGAGAGAAGACAAAAGTGAGTCAGGGAGGAAGAGATCTACTGCAAAAATAGATGGCAGGTTTAGTCCGCATGACCTGCAAGACTAAAGACAGTGATGCAGAGGAACAACCGCCAAGACTTCAAACAACAAACAAAGCATGCATACCAGAGAGAAAACAGATACAGACAGTGCATACAGTGACTTTAGAAAGTATTCAGACTATTCAATTTTGAATAGCTGTGTTGTAGATTTAGTTGTAAATTGATACTTGCCATTTTGCCTATTGATCTTCACTCACTAATCCGTAATTAGAAAAGTGAAAGTTTTTTTCTTTTAAATAATATTTGAAAACTTAAATCTCTCATTTACTTAAGTATCCAGATCATTTACCGTGACACCACAGGTTGTGGTCAGATGCATCCTGATTGCTTTTATTTTCCTTGAGACATGTCTATAACTTGACACACACACACACACACACACCTGTGTATATAAAGGTCCAACAATTCACATTGCATGTCAGGACAAAAATCAAACCATGAAGTCCAAGTAACTGCAGACATCCGCAATAAAATTGTGGAGAAGCACAGATCAGAGAATGGGTATGAAACCAACTCCCTGGAGCACAGTGGCCTCAATAATTGTGACATGGAGAAACCACCATGACTTTAGAGTTGGCCGTCCAGCTAAACCAAGAACCCAACAGTCACTCTAACAGAGCTTCAGAGGTCCTGTGCAGACGGGAGGAACCTGTCAGAAGGACGACCATCTCAGCATCAATCTCCACCAATCAGGCCTTTATGGTACAGTGGCTAGATGGCAGCCACGAAAAGTAAAAGGCATATTATGGCAGCCTACATTTTGCCAAATGTCATTTTAAGGACTAATGGCATAAGGATCCTCTTATCCTCTGGTCTGATGAGACAAGAATTGAGTTCTTTGGGCAGAACGCCAAACACTATGTCTGCTGAGCACCAGGCACAGCTCATCACCTGGCTAATATCAATGAAACATGGTGGCGGCAGCATCAGGCTATGGGGGGCTTCTCAGTAGCATACAAAGCATAGAGCAAAGACAATGCTGGAGCGGCTTCAGGACAAGTCTCTGACTGTCCTTGATGACACAGCCAAAGCCCGGACTTACACCCCACAGATCAATCATCTGTGGAGAGACATGAAGATGGCAGTTCACAGACACTTCCCATCCAATCTGAAGGAGCTTGAGAGGATCTGCCAGGAAGAATGGAATAAACTGCCCAAATCCATGTGTTCAAAGCTTCTAGAGACTTTCCCAAGAAGACTCAAAGCTGTTATTGCTGCCAAAGGGGCTACTACAAAGTACTGAATTAAGGGCCTTAATACTTTTGTGAATTAAATCTATGTTCCTAGTTAGAACCTAAATCCAGGTCTGAAAAGGTTTGGCAGCATTAAGGATTTGACTTCTGATTACTACTACTACTGAGATCATTTAACCTGACTTATCTTTAGGAATAAAGGCTGCACACACATTATATTAACTGATCAAGATGCTCACAAGGCACTAACAAAGACGTGAAAATGTTTACGCAGCATTGCTTCTATATACAGTGAAGCTGAAAGTGTAGTTGCATTAATGAGGTCAAGGTGTCCTCTCGAGCATTTCACAATGCTTAAAATTACTTTTAAGCATTAAAAATGATTTTAATATTTGGGTACCCGTGGTGATTTATAGATGAACTACTGCAAAATGCATCATGATAAATTATAGAGGACAGGCACAGAATCATGTGCAAAGTAGCTCTAAGAGGCAGATAGATAAAGGCTACATAGGCTTAAAAGCAGCATGTGAAAATTGAATACCAGAGTTTAGCCAAAGACAATTCATGTAGCGACATCAGACTGCAGGCAAACTTCTGCGACGACTGTGAGATGCACAATAGAAAGACCTTCACAAACGATTTTCATTCTAAGCAAAAGCAGACAAACCTGAAGACACAATTATATCTGGAGACCAGTATATCAGCCGAACTTCTTTAGGGGAAAAAAACAAGTATCTGCACACAGAAATGAAGCCTTCTAAATAAAAGTCCACTCATTTTAAGCAGATGTTAAAGGTGAACTGGAAAAGCTTAATAGATGACTAACACCTCCAACAGTTCTAGTCACCTGACATGGACCAAGAAACACTAAAATTTCACTGATGAAGAGTCAAAGAAAGGCTTGTTACAGGTTTATCAATATCCAAGCATTACAGGAACGATGCAAGAGTTTATACAATAGGGTAGTTGCATTAAAGCCTATGCATAAAGGGTTAATGCAACAATGGATAAAACCCCAACAAATATAGTGGTTTACATGTTAAGTTGCTGCCATGTTTCAACCATTCAAGAGACTTGCACTGGATCAACTAAACACTGGCCGAGGAGAAAGAGCACTAGCTTCCATGCCACACTCTCTGGACACACTTTCTTACAGTTGATGTGGAAAAGGTGACAATTTATGGCAAAAGTATGACTGCAGGGAACACAAGAAAATCACCTGCTTCTGATTAAATGTCTGCTTCAAATGAAAATTGAAACAGTTGGGAATCTCCCATAAAACACAGCACCATAAAACTAGACAATAAGATCCATATTAAAGTTAGAGAAAGAAAGAGAAAGAGATTGTTGGCACTCAGAACAGGCCCCTCAGGAGCAAAGTTGATCCTTGGCCTCTGATCTGCTTCAGTTTTCAATTTCCTCAACCATTAATAAAAATTAACATCTGGGGAGAACAGATGAGTGAAACTGATCTCAGATCAGTGCCTTGGAACAACTTTTGTTTCATGGCAAGAACCAGCAGAGAAAACATAGATTCTGACCCAATACCAAATGAAATGCATCCACCTTTCCCCCCACTGCTAGGAACCATTCGACTGTTCAGAACATTAGTTTACTGTCCTCCAGTTGAAGTAAGCACTCCCTCTTCTTCCTCTACTGTAAAAGAAAAATTCTGTTTCACTGATGTAGGTATAACTTGGTGTTGTCAAATAAGGAAGGACTTTATATACTGAAGCAGTAATTACAAAATTGTTTTGTAAAAACAATGATTTCACTGAATGCTCAAAATCCACCATCAGCCAAAATGACTGCTCTGATGAGAAGAGCTTCCATCATTGTTTTAGCACAGCATCCAAATGAACAAAACTGGGACATCTGAGTCACTGAAGTTTTGACGTGAGGTTGATGAAATTTCAAATGATGTACACATATTTAAAAGTCACTGATTATAACCTTAATTGTGCATGGGTAATAGGTAAGCAACGACCACCACAGCTCAGCTATCCAAAGATTTTTCTCTTTCATCTTTGGAAACTTTCTTTGAAGAAAGCTGCTGTTTTGATGGAGGGAAAGTCATAAAAAAATAGTCACAGGAAATGTTAGCATTGCCCGCTATGGATGCATCTCTGAGGTATTAGACTTCTCTGTTAGTGTCTCTTGATCACCTGTTAAAGCCTCTATGACCCACTAGAGGGCGGTAAGGCCCTACTGCTTCCATATGACCTGCAAAGCAGACACCGCCAAAGCAGAGGTGATGGACCACATGACAGGTGGCAAGAGGTGGCACATTTATGACAAAAGAATTCTCTGGGAGTTAGTGTAAAAACAGTATCTTTGTGAAAACATCAAATTCTCTTGGCTTGTAATGAAAGAAAAAAAAAAAAAAAAAAGGTTCCAAGTATTCCTTGGAAAAATAAAGATTTCCACTGACCTGTTCTCTGGACACGCTCCTCGGTCCCGTGACTGTTGTTGTTCTGCACTCTCATCGGTGGAACGACCATTGTCCTGACACCACGGGGGCTCCTGCCCTGCACTGCAGGGGAAGGCAGCGGCGCTACCATGGAAGCCAGAGGTGGGCAGCCGTTGTGGTTACTGTTGTCAAGGTAACGGTAGTGGCTGTTGCCACGCGGGGAGGTTGACGTGTCGGATGTAGGGGAACCTTCCACTGTGTCACAACCACTCTCATGGCCGTCATCCTCAGACATGCTGAATACAGAGGGAAGGAATGATTAAGCTGAGTGGAACTAGAGTGTATCTCCCTTTGTTACTGGGACATAAGGACACACTGACAACTGACTACCTGTTGGGTCTCTTGCATGGTGAGACAGAGGGGCTGGACTGAAGAGAGTTGGAGGCCAAAGAGTTGGTGCTGAGGCTGCTGTCAGGGCTGCTGAGGGAACACACTCTCTCCATGGACACACTGGTGTTTCTGCACGCCTCACACACACACTCTTCTTTACACCTACTGAAAGAAAAGTGCAAGTTAGTGTTTGTAAGGCTCACATTATAATCAACATACATTGTGTTTGATTGTTACTCACTCGCTCAGACGGCACCTCTGAGGGTCTTCGTCCTCTCCGTCAGTCAGTTCACTGCGAATGCTAATCACACTGGGAGCAGGGCTTGGTGTGTCACCCATCAGTACTGCCACATCTCGTTGTTGACTGGACAGGTCCAGCTGTCTTTTACCATTGGGCACCACCTCTCTGAAGCAGCTCACTTCCTCTTCTGCATCATCTTCCTCCTCATCGATGTTTTGAACTTCCAGTTGCCTGGTTTCCTCCAAAGGCACCTCCCTCTGAGGCTGCTCCCTCCCTTGCACTGCCTGTCCAACAATATCAGCCATCTTGGGGGACCGACATGCTGATACGTGGATGTTACTGGAGTGGGACAGGTTCCTTTTAAGACAACAGTTGATATATTAAGTATACATAAAATGACAGAGCAGTTTAACTTTAAAAGACACACCTAAGATGCAGAATCTCACCTGTTGTGACTGTGTCTGTTTCTTTTATTGGCTGGCTGGGGCCAAACTACATGAGCTATGCCAATGTTGATTGGCTGATGGGCAGAGAGGGCTGGCATCTGATTAGTCAAGAGAGGCTGCTGAATCACTGAACTGTAGTGGTTGCTGTGGGAACGGACTTTCCTGTTAAGACGTAAAAAGTAAAATGAGGTGCAAGAGAAACAATGTTGCTTCATACTTTGAGTAAAAATATAAATAGATTAATCTGTACCCTGATGAAAGCAAACAAAACTGTAACAATTCATAACATGTGTTTTAAAATCACATTACTACCAACACTTTATATCTGATGTACAGATTGTTTGTCATAAATGGAACAACCCTTTCAGAAACCTGGTTAAGAAACAGCAGGAGTTCATTTTATGTTGTGTGTCATGTTACAACAGAGAGTTAACAATGACCCAGTTACTTCACTGAATACAAGATAAACATTTTTGACCAGTCCAGTGGAAGTCTTAAAATAGGGAATTTCCCAGACTTGAAGTTTGCATGAATCAGATTTTGGTGACTCACCCCCAGTCACTGATCCTTTGTGGGCCGGCTGTGGTGTCGCTGGTTAGGGAGGATGGGGGTGGTGGAGGGGGGTGAGAGGGAGGAGGACCCACCGTAGTCATCTGCTGCCATGCTGCTGGGACGAGGATCTGCTGCCCCCGGCTAGACCAGGCCTGCTTCGGGGACGTAGAAGGAAAATTAGGGGCGATTTGTGATCGTCTAATGAGCCCCATCAGTATGATCTCTATCAGCTCTGCTAGATCTAGGCTTGACACTGGCGTCGGAAGTTGTAGGTGGACGTTCCACCACTACACAGTCCCTACTGTTCCAAATGTTAACATGCCTCTGTCATTTCTCACCGATACTGTTAGCACGTGCATGCTAACAGTTTGTCTGTTGAGGTATGACGTAGGCCTCAACACAGTGTTACTACCCATGTCTACAGAAGCAATGTCTGAATCTGTGTCTTACCTGAGCTATTACACCAGGCCTCACAGGTAGGGGCTGTATGGGAGGCGCCTGAGTTACCATGGGAACAGAATACCCTGCTGGTTGATTAAGGTTACCTGAAAAAAAAAAAAAAAAAAAAGCATAAAACAACCCATATGTCATTTATACAGCTGAAAAGCTGTAGTTAAGTTTAATAGCATCTTGGTGAAGTTATGACATAATCATTTGCAGTTAGGTACTTTATATTGCAGCAGAGTGATGTCTTCCAAAATATTAAAACTTTGTCTGAATACCTTGCATGGTGGGAGGACAAAGAAGAAGGGCAGGTGGGAACGAGTCACTGCACCCAAACTGACCGTTCCCAGTTGTTAGAGCTATTCCTGGATGCAACACTGAGGGAGCTGACTGGGTTATAGCCTGCATAAGAAAAGAGCGAGCGGGGGGGGCGACAGCAGAATGGAATAAACAGATGAGGTGGCAGGCAGAAAAGAGAGTATAGACGAGAAGGGTGAAATGGATTTGGAAGAAATGAAGCGAATGACAAGGAAGAGAGACAAAAACAAAGTAGAGACACGGCAACAACATTAGAAGTAACATTTGAGCACAATGATTGGCAGTATCACATGTGACACAAACACCAAGACCTTTACTGTGAGATGGTATGTTATAGCACCTTCTCTCCAGAAGAGGGCAACATGAGGTCAACAGTACAGAACCAGTTCACTGAAACATTATGTAACAAAGGATTAGACATATTTAGAGGCTGGTATTTATCTTATCTGTCCTTAAAAACTGGGTGTCACCAAGAGGCAACGTGTAGCGACTAGTGTTGAAATAATCCAGCCACTGCCAAGTTGAATGACACTTCATAACTTCAAAGGCTCAATGGCATTGTTAATAGTTTTAAAAAACCACCGATATAAAAGTTTATTGATGCACTGACTAGCAGTGAGGTAAAACACGCCCTGGAGCAGGAAGACAGAGGAAGTACTGGTGGCAAACACGCACATAACTCCAGTATCTCACCTGAGTGTGGACTGGTATGTTGCTGTAACCCAGCGGGAGGCCAGAGGAGGCAGTGGGGGCTACAGGAGCCCTTGAGAAATGAATGGTGTTCTGGTTGAGAGCGTCAAAAACAGCATTGGTGGGCCGGCTGTGGCACATGTCCATGATCCGGAAAGATGACTGCACACTGGAGGAGACCAGAGGAGTTGTCGTTCATTAAGGGGGAAAACTCTACGACCGGAGTTCAGATTACACTCAACCAATATTGTATTTATGCCTTTCCCATGTACATTGATTGTTACTACAGTAAGGAGAAACAAAACGGTTAGAAAACAAACAAGAATTTGCAAGCCAACACATTTTGTGTCAGTGTCAGCTGTGGCAGCCTTACTGGTTACTATGTGGGTAGTCCAGCAGATGAGTCATAGTGAGGAAGGGATGATTGAGGACATTGGAGGGAACAGTCCTGTCCTCAGCATCGATCAGCAGCATGCTCTTCAGCAGAGACACAAACTCCCTCCTGTCTGCCTTCTCTGCTTGCATGTCACTGTTATCAGGACTCAGCACCAAGTTCACCTGATGGATGGAGGCACACAAAGAGAAAACACTGTGTATGAGAACCACGGAGAGTAACAGTTCATGTTGCAATTAATTAAGAAAACACAGGAGCATTTGAACTGATCAGCTGATTTGAATGTTTTGCAGTAAAACTACGATGTCTGATCTTGATGTGTTTTTGATGTCCTACATCTCATTTTTGTTCAGGACAGTTTGAATTTGAATTTTGAAAACATATATCTGTAACCTTAAACATGAACTGCACTCTGGTTGTACTCACGTGTGCTACGTCATCCAGACAGCTGAAGATGTACTTTCTGGCCTCTTTGGATTTAAGTCCCGTCTCTTTCTCATGCTCTTCTGTCGTCTGGAGGAAGAACACAAGCATTAAGAAGAATCTCACGTATGTAGGTAGAGTGGGTAAAGACCTTTGTTTAAACACATTTTTGTATTTTGTGTTGGAACACTTTTACTGGATTTGTCAAGTTTAAATGATAAGGAATTAAAGGTCACTGTATTTCGATAAAATGAAAAGAGGCATTTGGAGAAAACTAAGTGTGTTCCCATGCAAATTCATGTGGTCAAAATGTTGGGCAGTTGGGTTTCTGCCGGGAAGTTCATGGGCAGGTAAATATTAGCCTCACATTCATTTAAAATTTATTTGGAGTCCGCTTGGCAGGTAGTCTAAACACAGTTTCACATTTCCTTGAGCTTTCTTCAGGGTGTGCAGGCTTTGTCCAGTTTTGAAAGCTTATGCAGCTGTTTCCTATTGGGAAGGCACTGCCGCTTCATACGTTTTTTTTTTTTCTCTCACTGCAAGTCCCTACAATGAATAGCTTGTGCCTTTTCAGTTCAAATCTCATCTCCCCCGTGTGTTTGCTGTGTCCCCCACAACCGGCGTCAGTGACGATGATGCGTGGTTGACAAGATTGTTTGTCTAGAACATGTTTGCATATAGCATGTATGTCATATGTGTGTATATCTGTGTGATTTGCGTGCTGGTACCTTTAGTCTCCAGGAGGCGTAGGGAGAGTCAGACTCTTTGGAGAAGAAACGAGAGGTCTTGGTCCCCTTGTTGAGGAGCTGCTCGGCAGGCAGGCCCTGAGTCTGAGAGATGTACCGGATCTGAGGAGAGGAAGAGGCAGAGGAAGGAGAAAATGTCAAAACAAAAATTCAAGTGTGTGAAGAACGGAAAGAAAGCAGGGAAATGTGTGGGAGAAGATGAAAGAGGGGAAGGTGGAGAAAGAAGACAGACAATGGGTTACATCATAACCACTTTGCTGGAAAAAAAAAAAAAAAAAAAAAAAGATAACTGACTTGAATGTATTTAAATTCGTTTTACCCAATTACTGAAAATACAGCCTTTAGTTCAGCTGATGCAGTCTAAACGTGTAATTTTGAAGTTTACGTCAGTAGCTTATTAGTGTCGAGGTACATTTACGCTCCACTGGTTGACTGATGTGAGGTTTTTTTTATATATACCAGTGGTTTAATGGCAGCCCAGAACTGCATAAGACTATTATTGAAAAACAAAACGCTAATCTTATCTACAACATGTAAACTTATGTTATACAGGGACCTGGATTTTGTCCAACCGCTGTAAAGTGTCTTGTTATCTAATACAGCATGTTAAATTCCTGCACTTCAACCTTTAGAGCTCTGCCAAACTGACATAGTTCGAGCACTTCACAGGCCCAAGGCGGATGCAGTTCATAAGCCAAACACACAGAAAGGGGCATCAGAGGTCATCAATATTTGTTTGCAAATTTTAGCACAACTAACAAATAATGTCATGCACTGAAGATTGAGCTTATGATGAAAGAGCTGTGGCCTAAGACACAGAACGTATGAGTAAATGTCTGTTTAACCTCCACAAGTATCCTCAAAGCTTCATGTCTTCAATTTTCTCAGCTGAACTGAAGAGACAGATTGAAGTGTCTCAATCCGACCGTAAACTTCATGACTACAGCCTGCAAACCAGTGAGGACCATTACGGAGAGGATAACTGACAAAGACACGTCTATCTCTCCATCTATTTATCTACATGAATTTATTAAATCGCAGCATGGCTGCAATAGGAAGCTTCTTTTGACAGACAGTAAAATCTATTAAACAAGAGTTTGCTGTTTAAAGTAAAAGTAAGATACAACAAAAAAAAAAACATGCAAATTCATAACATGTTTTCACTGGAGGTTCCAAACATGACTGATGACCTCTCCATGGCTCAGTTTAATTGATTCACTGACCAAAAAAATACATTTATACTGATTTGTTAAATCTGTTCTTTTTTTGTTGTTATTTTTTCTAGTTTTTCGGTTGAAGGAATTAAGTCCTATTCAGAATTGTTTGATATGCAAGTTCTTAAACAACTAAAACCTGGTATTCTCCTCGTCATGGTTCATGACTATGAAGTGAACCATCTGTAAATTTCCCCAAGAATTTACTCAACTTTCTGGCCTGCCCTGGCGTGATTAACCCTAAAAATGAAAAAAAATAAATAAAAATAATCCAGAAATTCCATGACCAATGGAAATCCTGCAGCAAGGTTTCACAGTGTGTATGTGTGTGTGTACATGAGCACACGTGCACATGTCTACGGCCCAGAACAAACACACTGACTGGCCAGAGGGCACTGGACTGAGAACCTGCTGATTGTGCACTGAACGCTCACCACAGTGTGTGTGTGCGTGTGTGCACATGTCTACCATCAGGCTTATGTTTATAAATACATTTTGCTGTGTAGAGTGGAACTGCAGTGAGCCTTGGCACAGCACTGCATGCTTTTGGGGGATCAATGTGCACGCGTGAGTGTGCGTCCTGGCATGGCCCTGTGATACAACAGAGCTGTCACTGCTCAGCGAAGCTCTATCAGCCACAATCTCTGACTGATGATTGTTCAAACTGCTAGCTGCTGCTGGACGCACAACTGACACGTCGCCAAAAAACCCTCCAAAAACAGATGCATGCACAGGCATTAAACAGGGTCCCACCAAACAAGCCATCAATTCTTTAAAAATGTTAATGAACAAGAATGTTTGGTGCTGGCGTGTACTATGGAAATGCAGCCAATTTCAAATATTTGGTTTGGCAAAGAACGCCAAACAAGTTAGAGCTGTGGAGAACTTGCCTATAAAAGGTCAAAAATCTTTTTTTTCCTACATAATAAATGTCAAGACATCACAATACCAGGATGTCCAAATTTCTAAACTCTTATGTTGAAAGTATGATGGGCTTGATTCTGGTCTCCACAGAGGTGCCTACAGTCAAAGACAGGGTAAGCCTGTACTTGTCTGTGAATGTGTTGTGGGCCTTTTCCCATGCTCCCTCTCCCTCGCCGTGGGACTCCATTTAGAGTCCCAGTAGTGCAGTTTAGACCGCACAACCCTGTGGGAAGATAATCACACGTTGCCAAGAACAATTTCCTGATTCACTCAGGCCAGATTAGTATTAGGTGGATTTCATGCTGGATTTGTTGGACTTCAGTCATACAGCAAGAGAGAGATCAGGGAGCAATAACAAATAAAGGTTTAACTATATAATGAACATACTGTTGAGTTTTAGCTACTGGGAAAGTGCAGCACAGCAAATTCTAATAATTCTAATGTGGGAAAAATGTAATTTCTTTCTGTTTATTTTCTCCTCTTCCCTGCCTCTACCTCAGCCAGGGGATATATCTGAAGAGACTCTCCTTCAGTGAGTGATATAGTAGCCGGTACTTCTTGTACATGTGTGAGTGTGAGGGAAATGTTACCTGGTCATACTCCAGTGCTCCAGGGTAGAGAGGCCAACCCAAGAAGAGCTCAGCTATCACGCAGCCCAGTGACCACATGTCTATGGCCTCACAAAATGGCAGGCCCAAAATAATCTCTGGAGCCCTATGGAGAGAAAAGAGAGGCAGCAAAGGTTACGTCTGGAGTTGGTCACCATGTATAATCAGAAACCAGTCACGCGGTCAGAGCCCGGAGGACAACATGTCTATGATTTCATAGACATGCTGCAGTTCAGAAAGAAAGAGTGAACAGTAAATGTGTCTGGTGAACCAAAAGGTATGATAGCTCAGGGTAGTGCAAACCCTGTCAACTAGAGCTGGGTGATATGGCCTAAAATTAAATCTCAAGATTTTTCTCACACCACACCCAACTTTTTTTTTTAGAGCCCTGTACTGACGGCGTTGTGCAGTTTGTGTCCAAAGCACTGGAGGTTGGTCGACTCATTCGGTCTCAGAGCTTTGATCATGTTCGTGCAGGTGTCTGTAGTCATGCAGACGTGTCGGTCTTCCACGAACCCAATGCATGCTGCTAATGTTACCTGCCAATGTCTCGTGCGACTCACAGTGCCATATACTTCTCCCACCCAGCTGCTTTCCTCTTTTTGAGATGCTGGAATATATTAGTCGTGCTGCTGCTTTTTGTTGTCACAGACTTTTGGCAAACTTGCTCGAGATCGGACGCATAAAAAACCGAACCACTTCCAGACAACGTAGGAGACGCTGCCTTTTGTGGGAACGATCTGCTATGTTGATATTTCACTTGTGTCTGATGAGAATTCTCGTGTTACTATAAACTACGGACGCTCAGGGAAGCGGTGGCGGTTCCATACCATGATTAACCCAAATTAAAGTGAAATTTGATTTTCATTTTTAAACATCGTCCTACACGATAAATTGGAATTAATCTATAAAATCTATTAATCAACCAGCTCTACTGTCAACCATATAAAAATCAATACTAGGAGTGACTCTACATTTAAAATAAATACTTTTACTGCCCCACACAGTGTTGCCTGCATAGAAAACTTAAGGCACTTTGCTCAACTTCCGAGTCACCTACCAAAACTCAAACATGTTGGCAATGACAAAAGCACTACATGTAATTCATCACTGTCGTACATGAATCCAACAGCTGAAGCATTTCAGGGTGGTGCGAGGTGAAAACACCTGATACAGCAGGAACATACGCTAGCTAATTAGTACTGACTACCCAAAGCATAATTACAAACAAGTAGTGGCAGATTTGTGGGGACTGATAATAGACAGACTGTGGTTACTTGTAGTGAAGGCACATGTTGAAACATTTAGCTATGCTAACGTTTTCCTTGCTGATTAATATTGAATAACCAAATGTATTCGTGCTTAGCCTCGACTTACACTGTGTCACCAACAAGAATTTAGTCAACAACTTTCTCAACAAAAACTGAAAATAGAAAGAATTTATCGTGGGGATGTTGTGTTCCTATTTTTTAAATATATTTTATATAACCCCATACCAGCTCTAAATTATATTTGATTTTCAAGAAATTGATTTGAAAAACTTGAATAAAGCTTAATACCACCACGGTGCATGGCATATGACTGTTACAGTGCAAGAAATTATGGTCTCATCAACAACAGGATATCCAGGGATCTAACATTGAACATTACACCCATATGACGTGCATGCAGTGTTACTGCAACAAAGAACTAAATCTCTTCCACCAAAGGGATTTTTGCCACTTATGCAATTCAAATGAGACTAGTAATCTTGCAACAGAAGTGTGAGGTAGTGTATAAAAACAATGGGCTATTAAGCCTGGATGCAACAGCTGAGCAACAGTGCTGCAAATAGTAACCATTGCTATGATGACCACAAGGGAAATGACTGTTGCCAAGCAACAACCAGACACAAGACCATAATGTAACAGTATTATAAATGGGGCCATTGCTCATCATTCTGTATGACTGTGAACAAATGTCTGTTTCTGTGTGTGCATCTATGCATGTATGCATGTAGACACACAACTGTAGATGTCAAGTCTATCACTTTCTGAGCACAGACGACGCCTTCTGTGCTCCTTGGCCTACTGGAGGAAATTACTCTTTGCTATTTCCTACTGCTCCTTCAAGAGGAAGAAGTCAAGTTATGCAATATGAAAAAGAGCCTTGGGGGACACTTGCCTCAAACATTTACAGAACAATCCTGCAAAGCCGGGACGATGATTGTGGTTTTCCTAGTTTTAAGAGAGTTTGAAGTGCAACTATCAACAAAGGGTGATTTGCCCAAAGACAAACACATCAGACCACACAACAAGCTATTTACACACCGTTAGAAGTCTTAAGGACAGGAGGCATTTAGCATACATTTTAACACTTATCAAAGGAAAAAAAATAAAAGAAATTATGATGAAAATCATTCATTCACTCATTCATTTACAGAGAAAAGGAAAAATAAACACAATACCATAAGTGAACAAACTATACAGTGGCAATAAACAGCTTTCAGCTTCGCTTAACTTACACTGCACAAATTTAGGGTAAACTAAGGCCAAATTAGGCAACTGCTCAAGATTACAAAAACCTAAAACCAATGTACTGAGATAACTTAAGAGGAGGAAACCAAGATGGGAAGGTTTTGGTTTTAACTGTACACCCATGGTTATTGTTGTTGCTTAATGTTGGAGGTATGAACACGAAGAAAGGGACAAGTCTTACAGCAAGATCTGACCAGCTGCAATATTCTGCTGAAAACTGATGTAAAAACATTTAACATTATGCTGCTAAAAAGTCTTACAGAGTAACTAACATTAAAAGTGTTTTGACTTCACACTTGTAGTAATGTGCATATTTCTCCAAGAGATGAGAGTTAATTGCAGGTGATAAACAGATAAAAAAAAAAAAAAAACAGTTCTGTAACCGTCTTCATTACATTGTTACCTGGTTTTCAGTATTGTAAGTGGGATAAACCTGGTTAAATTAAAGTTCGATAAATAAATAAATAAAATAAAAACGGTCCACAAACACAGGCTCATGGTATAACTGTCCATTACAGGCATATGACAAAAATAAACAAACATGTACCCACAAATAGTTATGGGAGAGGGGATTAAAGGGGTCAAAAAATGAACCTAAAGAGGACCGTGTATGTGTGTGTGTGTGTGTGTGTGCGCGCACTCCCAGCTATACCGCCCGAGTCATAAAAGCGACAGCAATGGCCCCAGCTTTCCAGAGCTCTAACAGCTCATCACATAACACACGTCTAACACCCGCAGGCACACACACGCCCACAGGTGTTTGGCAGCCAGACCAGGTTCCAGAACTAACTAGTCACACTAGAGAGTAGCAGTTACGACAAGAACAAACGCTGCAGACTGTAAGGTCAACACACTGCTGCAACAGAAATAACTACGGATAAACAAGTGGGTTTATGTGATTGTGAGTGATGTTAAACATGAAGATACAGGACATATAAACTCAGTGCTTTTACACCTGTACACAAAGCTGGTGCATGATCACATATCAAGACACATTTCTGTCTGCCTCTTTCTTCAGCCTTGATATAAATAAATATTAAAATGCTCATAGAAGATGTAGTGATCATTTTACTAAGAAATAGCAACCTTTCATTTCATATATCAACAACCTGTCTGTGTTGCTTCCTGAATGAGAGTCTCCTGTCTGGTCAATTGTTTTCATTTACCTGGCCCTCTGTCCTTCCCATGTCTGTCTGATTGATACCATATTGTAGATTTACAGTATTGTAGAATTTTAACTAATTGAACATTAAACCATAAAACTATCTAAGTGGGTAGATGGGTTTGTTTGGGTTTTTGAGTTTATCTTGCTTTTTTATATCATTTTTTCTTTCTTTTTGTTCATCATGATTTGCTAAGTATGGAACAAATAAAATACTGGAACTGGAAACCATATTTCCAAAACATTTTCAAGTTGCAACACGAATGAATTAAGTCTCTAATCATACTGCTGCCCTTTAAGACTTACAAACTGATGTCTGATTTCACTTAAAGGCTGTCAATGACTCAAAAAGTTGGCCTACAAAACACTTCCTCATTAAAGGCCTCTGTGATCCAGGAAAAATGGGTGGAGGACTTGGCCATATGAAAAGACGCAATGAGGCAAGCAAGCAACAAGTAAATAAATCAATAATACGACCACAGAATATTCCACAATGACTGTGAGGAAATTTCATCAGTCTTTATACAATATACAATCAGGTCTGAACCTGAATTCACAGCTCAAACAAAGCAAACTGTGAACATTAATGACAAATTTAATACCCCAGTGTTTGTATGTATTTCCCAAACTAATAAAAAGTCCCCAGTTGTGTTGAGATTCTTATTCTAGTCTTGTTTTTTGAAACTGACAGTGTGAGCCCATCACCAAATATTTACCCAAGATGACATGTTGGGCCTACTCAGGATCTGACTTTCCTGTTATATGGCAAAGACACATCTACATCAAAAAACACGTGTACAACATGTACTAGTGTGGTGCAACTAGGTGCAAGAGTGAAAGAACACCTACTGTACGTGACAAAGAAATCACACGTAGATAAAAGAAGCCTAACGCAACCTGCCCAAATCTGTAAGCGTGCTAAGATGATAGCTGTCTTTTCCTTCCACCTGATCTGCTTCGTTGAATTATTCACATAGCCCAGTGCTCCATTTTCATTGTGGGATGTGGTTTTACGTCACCAGCCCCCACAGGACTGAGCAGTCACCTCACCAGGCCCTGCTGTGTCAGGCTACCATGGCAACAACACATAAGAGCATGACAAGCACTGGATAGCTTCTGCCAGAGCTGTCCATTTACAAGAGTTACACTTACAAACTCAATGGAGTTCGAGTTCATATTACCACCTCACAGTATTTTCAATTTGAGCACAAAAACTCTCCAGCTGACTGAGCGGGAATTCAGCCAAAAGGTTGCACCTGTTTGGCTGCAGGTGAACACCTAGGGCCCACTTGAGCATAATTCTCAATTCTATTTGCCTTTCTATGGACTATCAAGGTCCGTTCAGAGCCAGAGACGTTGATGATTTGCCATAGCCTGATGAACGAAATAGTACAATGTTTCATTAGAAATGATGTGGGATACATTGTT